ATGGTTTATACCTGGTAAGATACTAAATTAATATTTCCTTTAATTTCACTGAATAAGCAAAAGGTTGGGTTTCTTTTAGTAAAAAATAAAATATTATTTTTGTGCTAGTGATGTAATGATAGTTTAAAGTGGTGATTTTTTTTTTCCGTAATAGCAGGAATAATTAAATATTTTGTTGCTTTTGGCACTCCTGAAAACTATGTAGAAATATATATATAAGAACATGAAATCTGACTGCTGTTTTTATTAAATGTGTTTCTGTAGATCTTTGGGAAATACAGGGGCTTCTGGCAGACTATTGTTTTGAAATTGAATCCTACCCCTCTGTGGAATAAACAGAGCTTTTGTATCCAGTTTTATAGACAATCCATGAAAACATTAGAATCTCCCTATTACTCTGGGTCATTGAGCTAACAAATTTTAGTTTATAGTTAAAAGAATACAGGGATCAAAATTATCACCTGAAGCCCGATGGAAAAAAAAAAGGATAAATGAATTGATTGATAATGTAAACCATTTGATCTGAGACTTAACTTTAACAGAAATTGAAAAATGTCTTTAATTTTAGACATTTGAGCATGATTATGATTTTTCTCTCTATGATAATCAAGTTTGACCACATTATGTTTTGGAGTCCCCACTTTCTGGGGCTCCACTGATATTTTAATAGCTCAGATGAAGATTACAGTCCACGATATAAACTTATGGATCTGGAAAACAACCTTGGTTCCCTTATTTTTTGAGAAAATAACAAATTGCTTGCCTTTATGAATTAATGCTATTTATTAAACATTCTCCAACTGTTATGACTGTTGATAACATGATCAAGCAATAGTGGAAGAGTTTTATGGCTTCTTGAACAAAAGACTACATCAGTAGAGCACAACTCCTTGGAAGTAGAAAACCCCCTACATTTTATAAAGTATTTTTTCATCTTTGACAAACACACAGCCTCTAGAAATGTTCACTTTCTCCTTGTCACAGCTCTTTCAGTAGTATGCTTAATGGGAATCTAACAAATCTGTTCTCTGGATAAAAGTAGCAGATACATCGTAACAGCACACTCGGCCAAGTAAAATATCCTGCCACTCCCCACATGGGGTATTTGATTTGCTCATAAAGCCTCACACATCTTAGCTCTTCATGTGAAGAAAAAAGTGTCTTTTTTTTTTTTTTTTTTTTTTAAATTAATATGCTAGATTGCAAATTGAAGTGATTTTGAAGAAAATTTCTATGTTGGTTTTCTACTGAAATGTGGCTAATGGAGCTGCCTTACACAGAAGTTTATTTACTTTCTGAAGGGTTTTACCAGCTCTCAGCGAAAGCTCCCTTGGGCTGTGCCTCCAGTCTGAAACCCGTTTGCTACAACATACAAAATTAAAGTTAGAAAACACAGATTAGACTTAACAGATTCCTTATCATTAAAGAGTAAAAAAGTTTTTGTGGTTTTAGACCAGCTTTAAGACAAAGTGACACTTCAGGTTAAAGGATACTATTCCAAATATTAAGATATACTAGTAACTCCTGGTAGGAGTTTCGTTTAAGAAGTTTTGAAACATACACTCACACAGACAACTGTTTGTTCCCCTATCTTGTCTGACGTCCCATGTTCCTCAAATGAGAAAGTGATGCCAGATGCAAGAGAGACAGCTGCCACCATCATCATCATAATCTTTGCAGACTGGTTGTCAGTAGAACTCTGATTTTACCAGCATTTTCAGTTCCACTTCACATCTTTTCCAGTTCAGATAAGCCTATGGTTAACTCAAAATAGATTTTATCTGTCTTGTTAAATTGGGACTGCAGTTTTTAAGGAAGAAAAGTTATGAAATTATTAAGAGAGAAGATAACGGACATGAACACATACAGCTCTTAAAAGATTTGGTTTGAAATTATGAGACTAGAATCAGTAACACTTCTTTTGTGAACAGAACCAATGAAGGTGACTGCAGTTAATGTAAAATTGACAGCTGATAATGCTGTCCAAATTCAGTGCAAAAATCAAGCAGTGAATGGAGAAAAAACAGTATTTGAATTGACTTGGGAAAATGATGGACTAACCAACAGCAGAGAAAATGTATGTGATTTTCAAAGAGAAAATCTCTTGTACTTGACAACCTATACATTTAAGGTAAGTAGGCGTATTAAATTATAACAGATTTCTTTATTTTCATTGTTTAAGCATATTATACTTGATTTTAGGAAAAAAGGCAAATATGGTGACAGAGGAGTTAATGCATATGTGCCTAGTCTATCAGTCAATCCCTTGTTCCACATAGGTTCTGACCTCATGAAAAATACAAGCTAAATAGACTGTTCGTACTTGGGACAGAGAAAAATTTGGGGGTTCCATAAGTTTTCAAATAGTTTCGTAAGCATAACTGATATTTTAATGTTGAAAACATAATGAAAATTTAATGAATGTGTGACTGTCATTTCAATCTGAGGATAAATATAGGATTTAAGTCTTGCGGTAATTGCTCAGAAATAAATTGTTCAGAATTTTTCACTGTGAAGATTTTTGATGCTTCAGGGACTAGTTAAGAGTAAAGCAGTTCAGATCCTTTTGAATGTCCTTCCATCAGCCTTTTACAACATTGTTTTCATACAAAATACATCATCCTCTGTTTACAAGCTTCACTTTCCAGAAGGCCTCCTATTTTCTTTCAGGCATTTCACCCTTTTGGCATTTGTTGGTTGCAAAGCCAATGGTCTTGTGTTGTTCCCTTAATGTGGCCAGTAGGAATATTTTTTATATCTTGGTATCTCCTCTCAGTAAAGTTTAGGTAAGAAGTAACCAGTAGGGATGATGGAGTTTTATTACTTTCGGAAACCAGTTTCACTCATTTACCACAATCTTTTCCTCTTTTCTCTGTGTCTTCCTGAGAAAATGCAGTATCAGACAACTTGAGTAGTCTAGATTTATTCCAAGCCTTTGTCAGTATTTTTCTGACAGATTCTGCTCAGAAAGCTTTGTATTTGGAAAATAAAGATGAGGTCCTGTAGTAGGACCAAAAGATGCTTGCATTGCCCCTATACTACGAGACCATTGCTCTCTTGTAAGCTTTTTGTGTGCCACTTTCAGTGAGCAGTTTGCCTTACAGAAGAAACTGTCTTCTGCTTGTGTCTAAGCTGGCTTCTGCTTAGAACTTACTTTGTCCAATTCTTACTGGAAAAACAGAGAAAGCCTTATGGCCTTAACTAGTAATGAAATGATTCTGGGTCAAGTTATGGGAGGCTCAAGAAAAAAAAGATCACCTGTGAGTGTTGGCAGATGTCACGATTCCCTTCTATATGCACATTGAATTGTTCAGGGAATAAACAGCAGCCTACCCAGCATACTTTTTGGCTTAGTGGTGTTTTGACCCCAACTGCTGCTCTAGGTTTCTGGCTTTCGCTATTTGAGAAAATTCTTGCTTGTTTTCTCTGCCACCTCTGCTACTCCTCTGGATGTTGCCACTTACCATGGCTTTCTTCCCAGCTGCAGAATTCAGAAATCACCAACCCCCTGAACACACCCTTTCAGGGCCGAGGGTGGGAGCTGGAGCACACTCCTGTGCGTCCTCAGGAGAGGTTTCTCTTAAGGGATAGGGCAGGCTCAGTAAGAACTCAGCCTGCAGTCAGCAATGGTGCTGAAAGCCCTTCTTCTCCCTGTTTGGATGATTTGCAGTAGGAGAATATTGCTATTAAAATCACTGTTATTCAATCCTGTTAATATTCTCTACTGTTTAGTATTACATCTTTAAGTTTAATTGTAAGATTAATTTTTCTTCACAAGAAAAGTGTGAAATATTTGATGTACAAATTCCAAGCTGCCTATTAGATCTTCTAGGAATTTCTATTAAGGAAATTTAAAAGATTGGGTAAGTGTAAAATATATTATGAAATGTAAACACATCTAAACAAAGTTAGTATTTTAGCACCAGTTAAAGTATCCAAAAGTTAATGTTGCAATAAAGCAGCATATTTAAAAGTTTATTTTGGTTTCTATCATTTAACTTTTCATTAATTACTTCCCATATAGGAACTTGTATTAAAAAAATATCCAATTCAGTTGACTAGTTGTGTATTTACTGCTGAAGCAAATAGAATAATGATGTTTTATTAGATGTTGCATGGTTATTTTTCAAATATGAGAGATTTGATTTTGATTTGATAAGAGACAAATTTGATTTTTTTCCTCGAGATATATCTGATCTTGATTTTCTAAAATGTGTTTCCTATTTCATTAACTTTTTTTCCCAGTCATCTACATATTTTTGGATCTCGATCTTGCTGTAACTTAGGTGCAAACCTGAGCCATACTATAAATGGCCATACAATGATTGACAGCAGATCCTGCTGTCAATGAGGTTGATTCATTGAAAATAGATGGGTGTATTTTGAATTTCCATTGTGTCTTGCTTTTTAAAAAAATGTATGCAGAAGTTTTTACTTGTTATATCTTAATATCTCTATTATTCTCACCCACTGCATGCAGATCTTAGTGTTTAATGGACAATATAAAGGGAAGCCAGTAATGGAGAGTATAAGAACCAGATGTAAGTAAATATATACAGCATTTTTACTTCTAGAATTTAGCATAGTATAGAGCAATAGTGTAAATTGTGAATTCCGTTATAATTGCTCCTAATTAAAAATCCAAACTGCCTGTTTTTATAGTTAAGAGTTGATCTGCATTTGGAAAAATAATATGCTCATTCAGCATTGATGTAACAGAATATGTTGACAAGTCATTGACTGTAATTCAGAATTATTACACAGCTGCAGTTTCTTCTGGACATATTTGAATGCAACTGGAAATTAATTTCTCTAACTTAAATTATTCACTTTAGGATTATTTTCCCGTGTTCAAATCCTATATTTCGGGAGCTGAACATCTGTGACTTGTCAGGGACTCCCAACTTCCAGATCAGGAGCAGCTGAGAGCTCCACTGCTCAGGTGTGCAGGTCACACAGAGCAGGAGATAACTGTGGTGATGCTGAACCAGTGAGTGAATTGTGGTATTTTGACAGGAGGACATGGAGAGTTCAAGTGACAGTTTTCTTAATGAACAAATAAAATTCCCTTCTTTTCTGTGAGCTTAAGAGTTTTTGGCACTTTGGAATAACAAACTTAATCTAAACACTTAAAGATAATTGTTTAGTTCTTTTCACAAAAAAATCAATATCAATGACTCCTGGTTCTAGGAAGTATATAGATTAAAAAAAAAAAATGGAAAAAGGGTAGTTTTTAAATGCCATTAATTATGTATTCAAGAAATAATAAATGCATTCTTTTTCTGTTGCTAGATAATTCTAGAGCCCTGATTATATTCTTGGCATTCTTGATCTTTGTGACATCAATTGCTTTATTACTGGTTCTGTACAAAATCTATGATCTTCACAAAAAAAAGCTTAGGTAAGCTTCCTGTTTCTCTTCCTCTCTTATATAAATTTTGGGGGGTGGAGGCTTTCTGTTTTTCCACAATGTTTCCCAACAGGGAGTACAAAAATGTTACAAATTTACTATTTGATTAATACTGGGAGACAACATCCTTTTACCTTTTAGTCCTTTCAAAAGAGACTCAGGTTTTGATGGCTTGTCTGACAATGCAAGTACGGTGAAAGAGATTTAAAATTTCTCTACCATACCCTTTCTCAGGACACAGAAGGACTGATCTACTAGAACAAAATGTTTTGTCACTAATTTTATGAAAAAATATTCACAAATATCTGGAAGACCTTTCCTCCATGATTTAAGTTAAAAGTAAAAATAATGCACAATTTCTTGGAACTCTTTCAAATGTGTATTCACCCAAAACAATATCTCAGGGAGGCTTTGTTTATTTTGGTCATCTCTAGGGGACTTGGCAGTTCTGTAGGGCAGTGGATGGTGATAGCAGAATGGCCATTGCCTTCCTTGATGACTGTGCCAGACCCCTGGAAAGCCAGGCTGACTGCTGCTATTGCTGTAAAGGACAGGTGGGGCAATGTATGAGGGGGCATTTGCTGATGGTAGAGATGGAGGAGTTAGGGCAAATTCTTCAGAAACCTCTCAGTCCTCCACATGGAGACCAGGGAGGTAATTCGAGATAGCCAGCATGGCTTCACCAAGGGCAAGTCCTGCCTGACGAACCTAGTGGCTTTCTATGATGGTATGACAACAACAGTGGACAAAGGAAAACCAATGGATGTCATCTATCTGGACTTCTGCAAAGCTGTTGACACGGTCCCCCACAACACCCTTCTCTCTAAATTGGAGAGCTATGGATTTGATGGGTGGACTGTTCGGTGGATAAGGAACTGGCTGGATGGTCGCGTCCAGAGGGTAGTGGTCAATGGCTCGATGTCCGGATGGAGACCGGTGATGAGTGGTGTCCCTCAGGGGTCCGTACTGGGACCGGTGCTGTTTAACGTTTTCATGAATGACTTAGACAGCGAGATCGAGTGCACCCTCAGCAAGCTTGCAGATGACACCAAGCTGAGTGGTGTGGCTGACACACCAGAAGGACGGGATGTCATCCAGAGAGACCTGGACA